ACATGTACATTCGTTATAGGTTGGCACTGCTGGTTCTCTTGTAAGCAATCAGCTCACTCTGCATGCATGCACAGGCTATGTAGGCTGCATGGCATGCATGCACAGGTTGTGTAGGCTGCATGGCATGCATGCCATGGCCACTGTACTTGATTTGTGCGGAATGCTAATAACAACGGTGGCGTACAGTTAACTTCTGCATCGGATAGGCATCTACTTTCTCCAACCGAATTCAGATTACAACAAGACCGGCCGTAGGTGCTACTGCTAGTATGTATTCTAAAATGAGAATCAATGATAACCACCCCGCAAACTGACTGCGTTGTTTGTGTGGTGTGAGTGCATTTCTGTTAAAACTAACTACGGCTATAAAGAAACTACTCCTGCACAATAGTGTTCGTTACATCGGCAGTCGGCGGCAGTACACATGCAATATTGTGTTATCCATCACTAATAGTGCACTACCCGGCCATGATAGAGAGAGCATCCACACACTACTACCCGGCCATGATAGAGAGAGCATCCACACACTACTACCCGGCCATGATAGAGAGAGCATCCACACACTACAAAAAAAACTACCATAAATCCGTATACACGTCGTCCAAGGTCATCAGGTTATAGTGGTGCATAGTGGTGCGCGCGTGAGGCAGTCAGCCAAGCCGCATTAACAGACGCGGCATGCCGAGTCTGGGAGAAGAGGCATTCTTGCAGAGAAATTAATATAATAATAAGAACAACACAAACAAGCAGGCCACGGCAAAACAGCAAAATGTAAAGAATCTGTGCAACACGCATCCATCCAACGTAATCGAGAACAGGCAACAAAGAAGGTTGGTCCAGCAAAGTACTAATAATATAGTGAAAATTGAGCTAATCTGATGCCATGGAAATCCTTTCTACACAATCGCCAGTAGGGGGTAATAAAAGAGCAAGCTCAAATAGCTGCCCAGGAGGGGGAGCGGACTACAGCATGCAAAGGCAGGTGGCTGTTTATGTGTACACACACACACACGCACGCACACACATACACACATGCACACACACACGCACAAACACGCCCACACACACACACACACACACACACACACACACACACACACGCACACACACACACACACACATGCACGCGCGTGCTCACACACACACACACACACACACACACACACACACACAACTCAAACCTAGGAAGTTAGTTTTGTAGTGCATAATGGTATAAGATAGTAGAAGATACGCACACTTCTTCCAAGCCCACCCAAGGTGACAAGGGCAGATTTGCACAGGCATTGACACTCCTCAGTTCCAATACGACACAGCGTACATTGTGTTTGGAAACTCCGTACCAGGGGTGATATTACCTGCCGTGCTCGGCAACACAAGCAGAAACTTGGTGCACGGTGATTACACATCGAATCGCTGGTAGCGACCTTCTGTACCACCAGCACCACCATCCTCATCCTTGTAGAGGCCTAAAGAAGAAAGAATAGTTGTGATCAGTTGGAATTTAGTGGCAAGCAACTGTCAAATATACTGATGGCATTGAAGCAAACAAGATTAACAACAAGGGCAATGCCTTAGAGAATGGGATGACTTTGGGGACCCTTAGAAAAACAACAAACACCGGGATGAAACAGGAGTGAAGGAATACCGCATTATTCTCCTGTCGGTGAAACAGTTGTAACGTTATCCCTCTGTCAGCGGTGATTACATCATGAGTCTGATCCACCAATGGACAGGATAGTCAGATGGTGTGGAAGTGGCAGGAGAAAGATTTTCTCTTATAGCAACGATAGTGGACAAGATCTGAATGAGACAGATCAAAACTAGCGCCAGATAACTGTCCAATCCAGACAACCTGCGAAGCCATGTGAATCGACCACCAGTGCACACCTGGTCTACACCACACGGAGTACAACGGCGTAAACCGGCCAAGACAGTTACCTCCAGTCTCTCCGGAGGCGTGGGTTTGAACCCCAATGCTGCCACCAATGTAATAGCTGGCCCCGGAGGCAATCACACTCACTAACTCAAAACACTCACTTCGTAGTTTACCAATAATTATCAGGAAAGAAATATTATACACACTTCGAATGCAAAGAGAGTAGAAAGGCAACAAGAAAGAAGAAAGCAAGGGAACAAAAGTCCAGCAACTGGCAGCCATGTTTTAGGTCATTAACCAATCAGCAATCTACGAAAACCGGTTGCCGACGAAATTCTAGAAACTTCTGGAACATTAGTATAATTAGCCAATCACAGTTCACAGCTCTGGAACATTAAGGAACATTAATACTAGCAGCCAATCACAGTTCGCAACAGACAGTCATACGGGTTTAGCCATACACGACTCATACATTACTCACAAGCGACTCACCGCAAGGGCAATAACATGCAGATACAAAATACGCAAGGAGAGAAAAATGTAACTAACTGCCCATCGGTTCGAACCTAGGAATCTATATCCACACAAGCTCTGAAAATAAATACTCTTTACTGTGAAAAATATACTTTCTATCAAAATGCAACTCCTACACACACCCTACACTTGCTGGGGTAACCAGTATAGACAGCACGCTGCTTTGATAGAAGCAGACACTAGATGCACTGGTAGTGGTACCTTGAAGTGAAATTGGAGTTACTTTACCAACCCTAAACACACACACACACACACACACACACACACACACACACACACATACACACACATATACACACACCATGTACCATGTATGCGCCCGTCGCAAGAGAAGCACGCAAATCTGCAAATGCACTGGATGTGCTCCCACAGATGTTCTCTTATAGCAACGATAGCGAACAAGATCTGAATGAGACAGATCAAGACTTGCACCAGATAACTGTCTAATCCACACAACTGGCAAAGCCATGTGAATCAACCACCAATGCACATCTGGTCTACACCACACGGAGTACATCGGCATAAAACGGCCAAGACAGCTACCTATTCACACCCTACACTTCTTGGGGTAACCAGTATAGACAACACGCTGCTTTGATAGAAGCACTAGACACTAGATGCACCGGTACCTTGAAGTGAAATTGGAGTTACTTTACCAACCAGCCTCGGCTACTGGGTACTGGGAACCCAGAGCCAACAGACATACCAACAACCTCAGCCATGAAAGCAATAATTATAGTAACGACACACTGGATTGTGGAGCCGAAACTAGTCCAACTTCCAAATGCTTCACACACACACACACACACACACACACACACACACACACACACACACACACACACACACACACACACACACACACACACACACACACACACACACACACACACACACACACACACACACACACACACACACACACACACACACACACACACACACACACACACACACACACACACACACACACACACACACACACACACACACACACACACACACACACACACACACACACACACACACACACACACACACACACACACACACACACACACACACACACACACACACACACACACACACACACACACACACACACACACACACACACACACACACACACACACACACACACACACACACACACACACACACACACACACACACACACACACACACACACACACACACACACAAGCACACTGTGACTTTATGACATAGAGTCGTGGACTAACACTACGTGCTTGTAGATATTGATAAGCCGATGTGTTGCAGGACTCGGCTTGGTGACGTCTTTGTGAACGTAGAAAAACCCTTGCCAACACGAGAAGTAGCGTCACCAAGTGAGCCCCAAGAATGACTGGAAGCAATCAAGTTCCACAGGACTTACCATACTTCTTGCGAATCTCGTCATTTCGTGCCTTGCGCTCAGTCCGCCTATAGCAAAAGGCACATTACATTGCAGGGTCAGTGACAGAAACGATACGTTGCTGGTCCTCAGTTTGAAAACAGGAGCAGGCAGGCAGGACGGAAGTGCTGCTACTAGAAGTGCAGAACGTGTTTTTAGATAACATGATGGATCCATTTTGATCTCTGTGCCTTTCTTTCTTCCTTATATCTCTTCACTTTTAGTTTCCATGGCTCTATGATGGCGGTCTCCAGTCATATCGGCCATTCGCGTTGGAAGGTGCATACAATAGAAGAAACGGTACGCTGCAAAGAGGCGACTGGAGGGTTGGTTTGCATGATTTCTGATAACAGAATAGTTTAGTGAAAGAATGATACAGGTTTCTCCGGCCATAACCTGTGAGATAACTAACTTGCATACACACGGAAAGACAGAGCATAGACAGCCTTCACACACACACACACACACACACACACACACACACACACACACACACACACACACACACACACACACACACACACACACATGCAAGGTGAGAATAGACAATGCATGGAGCACCACATACCTGCCCTCTTGGCGGATACGTCTGTCCTCGCGTTCGCGCTTGTCCTTATCATCCTCTCGTGCCCATTTTCTGTGCGGCAGAGAAAAAAAGACGCAGTAAAACCAGGTCCATTGAGATCGATGACAACCGTGAGTATGTGTACATGTGCAGCATGCTATACGTATGAGCCACAAGCAGCGAAATAAGACTTCAAAATGGGAAAGTGGACAAACAGTGCAAAGGGAGCAGTGCATACCACTGTACATGTCTGCAATGTGTAGCGAACTCTTTACTTTTCAAGGTCACACTGTCTGGCTAGGCATATGTCATTGTAGTGCCCCTGTAGGTGCTGCATCTTTGACACCAACAGTTCGTGTTAGCTATGTGATCTGTGCTGAGTGCATCTCAAGCAGTGTTCAGGACTGACAGCGGCACTCAAGTCCTTCTAGTAGGCGAGGAGTTGTTTGTTTAGTGAGTGATGACCTTGCATAGAACAGCAGTCAGTGTCACTGGTACCGCACCTCTTAGACCTCTTGCCTCCACAGCAACAGCAACAGCAGATGCAGGTGACAAAGGCGACGACCACCAAGACCACTACGCAGATTGTGATGATCAGTACGGCAAGGCCGCTGACTGCATAGACGCAAAAACAAACAACAACCACAACAACAACAACAACAACAACAACAACAACAACAACAACAACAACAACGACAACCACGACGACAACGACAACAACAACGACAACAACAACGACAACAACAACCACAACAACAAAGGGAGAATAAAGACTTCACACAAACGGCAGCAGCAACATGGACAAGCAAGGGAATAAAGAAGTGTGACATCAGCAGAGCAGCAGGGTGATCAAGGGGTGTGTTGATATAACTTGATAACTTGGGCTTAGTTGTGTGAGGTTGCCCTGCCCATTTCAGTGCAAATGTATCTTAGCCACAGAGCAGCACAGCATGCATTTTATGGTCAGTGTTCTGAAATCACGTGACAGTGTGGCAGCGACAGTGTGGCTGTCCATGGTGCAATCATGACAAGTATTATACTGGGTGAACGGAGTAGAGGCAATCAGGCTCCAGACAACCCTCTCCATCACCGGTTTAGTTGAACAATTTGTCAGTGATGATGGGGTAGATCAGGCCCACCGGCAAAGTGATCAACAACCAAAAGCACCATTTGCTGCAGCTCATAAATAGTTATATCCTCCGGACTTCATACATAACAAAAAGAAAGAAAGGAAACGAGGAAGTAGTGCTTAGCACCATGTAACGTTAAACAAGATCATTTACTCACTCTTGCATGATGGATACAGATGGTAGGTATCACTGCAGCTCGTTGTCAGCTTCCAGACGGAGCGCTTCTGACATGGCGAGCCGGTCGGACCGGAAATATTCAAATCCTTATTCGCAGCACACCAGTAGCACTGGAAAGCACACACACACACACACACACACACACACACACACACACACACACACACACACACACCACACACACACGCACACACACACACACACCCGCGCGCGCACGCATGCACGCACACACACACCACACACACACACACACGCACACACACACACACACACACACACACACGCACACACACACGCGCACACACACACACACACGCGCACACACACACACGCACACACACACACACACCACACACACACACACACACACACACACACACGCACACACACACACACACACACACACGCACAGACAAAAATAGTTCGATATCACAACAGTGTCTTACATGTTCTTCTCGTCACACTGAGATCGGCAGTAGAGAACAGAATATGGCTGATGATAGCAGTGCACGAGCTGCTCAAATGATCATCAGACGACGTACGAGCGTACTTGAATTCTGATTCCTGCTTTCGGATAGGATCTGTTTGAACTCACGTCGCATCCTAAGGTCCCAAGCGTTATGTCTAGATGGGTGTGTGTATGTGTGTGTGTATATGTGTGTGTGCGCGCGCGTATGTGTGTATACAAAAATCATGTAGCCGACCTATCCACTCTGAACATTACACCAAGCCGTGACCCTCAATGATTTATGTAGCTTGACTGTCGGTGCAATTCTACCGGGTAGAGCATCTGCTACTATGATCCTTCCCGCTATTGGTCGGATGCGCGAGGTGTTTTCCACAAAAATGTACAGCAGCAGCGCGTATGTACAAGTACAGTAAAGTTGTGCTAGACGAGACCTGACCTAATAAATAATTCAGTAGCCTTTTTTCCACTTCACAGCCCGGTGCTCGCACTGCGAGGATCGTCTAGTGCCTAGCGCTTACTTGCTGGCACAGTTGGACTACATCGAGCACCACTGTGCTACATGTACTATAACAGAAGTTGCATTTATAGTCATTTTTACACTCAGTGACCAAACGATTACAACTTGATCTAAGAGGCTAGTCTCGCCTGGCTGGCGATTACCAGTACTTGCCATATGAGTCAGTTTTGATACAGCTCTAAGCCGGAGTGTAAACTGAGAAACGACTCACAGTGCATGCATTTAAAACAATGTTGCCTTTTTTCCTCGGACTCCAAAATTCATGTACATGTAAAATGGTGGCATGAAACCCAGCCCATGGTTGTGTGTGGCATGGGCTTTGGGGCTGGATTCCATTTGCTATCACTGAAACAAATGAATGAAATCTGCGCCTGGTAAACTCACAAACACCCACAGGCCACAAGATGAAAACAACCACGGCACACTGAAAGCCTGCTGAGATATGAACATCAAGTTTAGGACACATAATCGCACACAACTGTTGCCACTAGACATGCATATCAATGGCGATGATGCCCTCACACTAGTCCATTATGCCACGTCGGGCCGCCCTGTTCTGGAGTGTGGATAGTTAGTGTGTGCTGTAGAGCGGTGTGTGACCAGTATGGTTTCTGTACAGGCCCATAGCTTGTATTCTTTAGTGCTGTACACTTTCCACGATGGCTGTGCGTGATGTGTAGTACTAGTAGAGCCTCCCTGAGCAGACACCTCGACAAAGGACACCTCTCCATTCAGGACACATGGGTTCAGTGATCCCCAGAACAGCCTGGTTTTGAACTCGGTAATCCGAACACCCCAACAGTTTCGCAGCCAGTTTGAAGTAGAAAACAGGGACGGCTGGGACAGTTTGTACATCCTACATTAGTCTACACATGAAATCAAACATGATACGGTGTGCCTATTGCCGTAGTGGGATTTGTGACATTTTACTCGACTTAGCAATGGACCAGCACATGGTCTCCTCTCCATTGTCTATGCGTATCCAATGCATCTTGCATCGGGAGTACAGGGGTGTTGATATACCGTACAGTGCATTGTACACCATGCATTCGACTTTGAAAGGGGTGTCAAACTGGGGGGAGGGGGGGGGGGGGGGGGGCTATCGCTTTGGCTACACGCCTGTCCTTATAACTTGTAAGCAATGGTACATGAAGCCAAGAGTTTGCAGCTCAAATGGGTTGCTGTGACGGCAAAATTCCTGGATTACATCATTCGGTGATGTAGTGTGTACACTGTACAAGCAGGATCCAAGCTGGTTTCCTGATGCACAACTACTTCAGATCAGTTGTACGGACCATGTCACTTCCACGCGCATGTCTGCACCAGCTATGATGTAATCCAGGAATTTCGCAGTGCCAGACACCCGTGCCGAAAAGTCACCAGCACAAGCTGCACACTCGGAGTTTCATGTACTACTAGTACCGTACGTCTACAAATGTTCGGCCCCATCAAAGTTCGGCCTCACAGGGCAAAAGCACATTTCGACCGCATTCTCATTTCGGCCTGCACTGCTGCTGGCTGTGTACACTGTCACACTGAACCTTGCCGCTTTGAAAAGAAAATTAAAGAAAATTTCGGCCGCAACAAATTGTCGGCCAAATATGACCAGGCCGAAAATAGCCGAAAATTAATATGCGCCGAATAATATTTTGTCAACTTAGGGGCCGTCCGCAAATATCGAACTTTTTTCACCAAACGAATTATTTTAGTTTAGACCCAACCCCTCCCTCCCTCCCCCTCAGAACGTAAAAATTGTTGACATATACAATGCATATACAACAAAACCCGCAAGTGTGTAACTGCTCCTATGGCCATGTACATGTATCGAACTTTTCTGAAACGAAATTGGCCAACCCCCTCCCACCCCATAACGAAATTATTTCGTTTCGTGAAAAAAGTTCGATAATTGTGGACGACCCCTTACAGGGGAATAGCTGAAATAAGTAAAAAAATTAGATCTGATAGGCATGCAGGCATGCATGGGCCTGGTCCAGGGAGGGGGGGGGGGGGGGGATATTTGGGCCCCAGGGACTGGAGTCTTGTGCCCAAGTTGTGGGAGTAGCGCTGACATAATTGCAAATCTTTTTTTACTTTGACTAAGTGCACTAGACAAAATGACCAGCTGTAACAAGTTCCACTTCCAAAGCCAAGTATTAGTTAGTTCCAGGCTTTTGTGTAGAGTTGAGTTGAGGTCTGGCTCAAGCTACTCAACTGAAACAACCCGGCCCACTCAATAATAAACCAGCAATACTTGAATATTGTAGAACGCAACAGCACTGCTAGTATCCCAACTACTAACTACATGATTAATATTGTACATGTACTACGGATATTGTTCGCAAGGAGAATACAAACAAAAGCGTCGTGCACAGTCGCAATAGGGGACAGCTGCACGCACGCTCAACTGCTCACTCAACGGACAGGGAATGCTGTACTTCAGTCTCCAGCAGTGTTTCGTCCAGCTCCGGACTCAGCCATAGCTGGCGGGTAAGGATTTCCAAGTGGAGGCAAAGGCCCACCAAAAGGCCCACCAAAGTCCTTTGCAGTTCAGCATCAGACAACCAGAACTGACAAGCAAACGCTGACGGGGAGGTGGGAACACGGCGTCCGGGAAAGGTAGATCTACAATGATTGTACTTGAAAAGTCACAGAGCATTCGAAGTGCGCTCGCTCGTGAAATTGACAAAGAGCAAAAGAGTTTTGCAAAAGAACCGCTTGCCTGACAGCAGTGGGGTCGTAGGCGCTAGGACAGGTTATCTCACTAACGAAAACACGACACTTGTTGAGCAGCCATGGACGCATGAAGCACAACTACCAAGCACACACACTATCGATAAGGCGGCTTGTGGAGAGAACGACATCAGCTCTCCAAGCCAACGATACAAGAATACCCCGACATGAGAACTACCTGGATACCTTCAAAGACTAGAACCACAGGTGCGGGCATACACTAGAAAGTCGCTTACCTCGAACTTCTTCACACAGTCGGAGCAAGTCGAATTTCTTTCCGTACAAACTGTCGGTGGGCAGAGAGACAAACAGCACGGACGGCCAAGGCCAAGAAATGAATTGCTTGAAGGACTAACAGCCGCTCTCGCCCACATAAAAGAAGGAATTCTCCCGTAGCTACTGCCTAGCGAAAGATCGCTGTCCACCTGCAAGCAAGCTCTTACCGTCAGCGCTAACTGATACCGCGCAGCATAGCGCCACTAGGGCGCACAACAATATCTTCCACATCCTTCTAAGAACCACCGGATCAGCAAAGGAAATACTAACACACTGACTACTGCAGCTTTTTCTGCCAGAAGAAGAAGACACCGAACAGTATTTTCTCACTTTCCCAGGTTTACACTCACTGTGACTCAACGCGGCCGGACGGGTCGGTAGTAGATGGATCCGAGTGTACGTAGGTCTACGTACAGACTCACCTGGTCACTCAGCTCAGCGCAACTCAACTGAGCGCATCCAGTATAGAACAGCCTGCAAAGCAAACGACACGTAACTCGTTACGTAGAAGTAGACTGCACTGACTGGCTGTGTCACAGTGAGTGCGTTCGATTACACACTTGAATCGATTCATGAATCCATTCGCATGCATTCAAGTCGTTCGATTTCATGTCATGAGCCCTGGAATCGATTCGGAATCCATTCACTCTATTCACATGGGGTGACGTGAATAGCGCGAATCGATTCATGAATCGATTCGTGAATCGATTCGCGTGCATAATCGAACGCACTCAGTGCTAGTGACAGTAGACTCAGTACTGGTGCAGGGCTACAACAGTCCAAGTCATGTAGGAAGGCTGTGACATGACGTGATCAGGTGGCAGACATCATGACTTGTGTGCACTTAGCACTGCACTACTCTACAGTCTACAGCCAGACCACAGTACTACTACTAGTATTTATGCACCACTGTGCTGCTACTCATGTCATGACTCGAGTCTAGATTGCATTTTACACAACTCAACGAGATGCATCGGAATGCATACAACATAGCATACTACTTGGTCTTTACCGGTCGTCTTTACTTAGCCTTCAAATGGCTGTGTCACATAGTCATTATGTCGGCAGCCAGCCGAGTTTTACTAATACACAATGACTTCTATGTTACATGGTTTATGACTTTTTTTATGGGTCTTATCCTACTAGTACTAGCACTATACTAGTCATGACTGATGAGCGCTCGAGCTCAGCTGTGCTTCTCAATAATATTGCCGGTGGTAACGCGGATGTGCGAATCCTACTTGTAAGTAACGTTAGTTGTAGCATACCCTAATTTAGCCTAGACATATTCATTGTAGCCTAGGTGAACCGTGCGCGTGGCGTGACCCATGCATGCATGCAGGCCATGGCCTAGCTAGGCTTTGCCTTAGCCATACGCCGTATGCCGGTATATCAAGGTATATCCTGGCTGGCTCCACTTCACGTGCTTATTCAGTCTTCAGATCATGGCAAGTAAAAATTAGTTGCTATTAATTTTTTTAATACTACATGTATAATGGGACGACGCGCCGTGCCGCCAAACCACGCGGACAGACGTCAGATCATCGCGTGGTCCGGAATGTCTGACGGAAGACAGTCATCACTCATCACATCAGCCTGATCACTCATAGTGAGTCATACATAAGTATATGATGCAGATGCAGACGATGTCACCACGCTTGCTGCTGACTACGGAGTAGATCTACGGTAGTACTTTTAGTGCATAGTGGAGTCTACACAGTACAGGTATAGTAGTGTTAAATAATTAAGTGCTGGCCCGAGAAATCCAACCTCATGAATAAAGTAGCGCCGCGTTCGAGTGCACAGACCAGTGTGTGTAGTGCTAGGGCCGGCTGCGTAGCGCCCGGCGCTATTTTATTCATGAGGTTGGATTTCTTTGGCCTGCACTGTAGTCTGTAGTACATTACTATCATTAGCCAAACTACAGTCTTGCTCAATGAAATCCATTCGCTTCGCTCAAGTAACATAGTTTGCACCCTGCATCATTTCGCAGCCCAGAGGTTGGCAGGTCTAGGGCTGCGCAGCGCCCGGTGCATCCTCGAGTGACGCGACTGGATTTCATTGAGCAGCACTGTACATGTATGAAGACCGTGATTGTAGTTTGGGTGCGCGTGACTCCTTTTAACGATACAATAATTATGCCAAGGGTAGATAAACATCCATCTACTCTTGATTACACACACTTGAGGGGAATCAAAAGCGTTTCTGATAGGGGTGAAACGGTTCGGGTAAGGAACCGATTTTGGAACCTTTTTTCGCCTAATCGGCTTTTCGATCGGCTAAGAAGATGTCCAAATTCGGCCATATTATGAGCCCCAAAGTCAGAATTCGGCTCAAAGCGGTACTTGAAGTCACCTCTCGCAGTATACATGTACATGTTAGTTGTTACTCATGTACATGTAGATGTGCGTAAACTTTGAATGCACGCTGTAGTGTACAATGTAGAGGCACTAAAACATCCATTTTCGGCGAATTCAGCGCGAAATTTATAAATTCGGTGCAATTATCGGCGATTTCTTGACAGTCATTGATTTCGGTGTCTTTTCCTGCTGACCGTTTTCGGAAATGCCTAAAGTAGCAGTCACCTTTCGCAGATAATGGCTACAGAAATTGTATTTGCATGCTGTTGAGGCACTAAAACATCGATTTTCGGCGAATTCAGTGTGAACATTGTGTATTCAGCGAAAAGATCGGCGATGTCTTCAAAATCACTGTTTTCGGCCAATTTTTCGGCCGGCCAATTTTGGGAAATGCCTACTGCCAGCTGAAAAGAATCAGGTACCCGTTCCGTCAAATTTCGAACCGAAACTCGAAAAATCGCGTTCTTGTACGATCTCCGGTACCGCTCTTCCAAAGAGTTCTTCTTTGCACATGGACTTTCCGATGCCTCTTTCTTGCTCGTAAAAATGTTTTCTAAAAAATAATTGTGAACGCATTTTGTCGGTCCGGAGAAAAGAGTGCATGGAACCGATACCCGAACCGACCCGTGGGAAACAATGCTGGCATTAGGGTACCCGAACATGAAAAAACATGGAACCGTTTCACCTCTAGTTTCTGCTGTAACTCTGAGTTTCACGGTTCTAACTAGGGGTCAAACGGGTGTACTAGTACCTTTAACTAATGACCGGGTAATTTCTTAACGGGCGGGTTAACGGGTACCCTTTAGCAGCCATGTTTAAGTTTTTGCACAATTTTCACATAAATCAAGATTTTAATTCATCTGTTCTCGGGTTGCATTTTGATATCACATTGTGATTCGCAAATCGATTGGTGTCTGATAGTCGCAGGAGTAGATCTACTAGGCGCGAAAAGGCAACAATGCAGACATCCAGCGTGGAGTTGTAAATAATGGACTCCTGCCTGGAATACACGATCCCAGCAGTGTTGCTCCGTACTGACTGGTTCATCAAAATCCAAACGGGTACTCTTTTACTAACGGTACCTGAGATTAACGGTCGGGTACCCGGTACACCCCCTGATGATCGGTTAGAACCGTGAAACTCAGAGTTACAGCAGAAACGCTTCTGATTCCTCTCAAGTGTGTGTACTAGGCTCTGTGTAACCCGTTTACTCGTGTACTATTTATGTGTATACAAATTACGTGTCATAAAGTAGCCATGCTACATCTGCACCTTGGTGTATTGAGCACTGTCACGAGCATGCAACCACGCCTCCCTCCGAGTATATCTACTCTTGATTATACGCAATAGTTACTGTTGTTGCTCACATGATGAGTCAGATACTCCGCGTTTACGGCCATACTCCAGCAGTTCAGGCTATCTGCAAGTACATGGACGTAGTCGACAGGACTGTTCATGACATGAGGGCCACAGGCATACTACAAAAAAAAGAGTTGGTATATAATAATTATAGAAGCCTTGCTTGATAGGTTTAGCATGTTTTCGAATTGGACGGCATGTTACAAGGCGAGGACGTCAGGAGAACTGTGCGTCCTCGCCGTGCATGCAACATGCTGTCGAATTCGAAAACAAACAAAAATGTTGTAGTACAGCAGGGCCGCCGGAACCTGTCCGGTTATCACCGGACCAACATTTTAGCCACCAACACAATCATGCTTACTACTATGGAGGCCATGTGTGCCCGCCATATCATACACGAACTATGAAAGGCACTGAAACTACCGGACCAATCAAAAACTGCTTCCAGCTGTCCTGTACAGTGAAACTTGTCTAAGACGACCGCTCAAGGGACCTTCAAAACGTGTTCTCTGTTGCCAGGTGGTCTCCTTATCCAGGGTTATCCTGAAACTTATAAAGTAAAACCCTGCAATCGCCACGCAAAGTGGTCATTGGCCACCCCAGCCATGTATTGCTTGGAATAAAACTAAAGCTATGAATAGGATGAAGGCCGCAGACATCACGCAACTACGTTACTTGTTTGACATGTATTACTGTGTATTTTATAACAAAAATATTATTGAAAACCCAAGACTAAGACAAACAACAAGTAACGTAGTTGCGTGATGTCTGCGGCCTTCATCCTATTCATAGCTTTATTAAAATTATTATCTCCACGTAGATTATTTGAATAAAACTAAAACTAAAGTAACATTCCCTGATCCTGGTTTCAGTGGTCTTCTAGGACGGGTGGTCGCCGTTTATCCGAGTGGTCACCTTGACAGGTTTTACTGTAATAACCATGAAGGCATGATAACCTGGTACACCTTCCAGGTACACACACACACACACACACACACACACACACACACACACACACACACACACACACACACACACACACACACACACACACACACACACACACGGTAACCATAATTATGATAAGTGCAGCTCCAATGCAAAGTACAATAATAATTATTCTACTAGTACTACTGTACTTCACAACTACTACTTTCCAGTCTTCCCACCAGTGGATCATAACTAGAATGATTGTGCTGCTACTGGTAGATATTAAATGCTAAATACTTGTCAACAAAGAGCATGCATGCATAATATACACGTAATATTTCAATTATTTGGACAAATAATCGGAAGTCAACCTTGTTATGGCCCAGCCAGCAAAAGGCACTGCAGGTCACCAGCTGACGTTTGAATGCTTGATTTACTGTAAAGCCAGAAAAATTCGGTGGAGATTTATTTTCGGTAACCATGGTAACTCCGGTACGGGTAATTATTATTTTTTTACCTAAAATAAAACGTGACTTAAAATTCAACTACTTGTATGCCATGCCACACACAGTGCACACACAGTGTGCAAAATGCATACTGTGAGATAACGAGGAAGTAAATCTAAAGTTTTAACGAATGGCATTAATTTTCTTTTGACATTTCTTCGTTATAATGCCGGTAAGTTCTGTTGAGGCTGCAATGCCTCATATGTGTTACGTGCGGATATGCCTGAAGCATGCAAGATCGTTAACGTATCTTCTCGTTAACCTACGCATTTTGGCCAATCGTTAAATTTGCGACTCGTTATATCAACATATCTGACAACAAAGGAAAAGGACATATGGATACGAGTTAAAGGGGAAGTTAAGGCAAAATTTAAAATTTCACCAGTTGTAGTCTTCGGGGTGCTGAGTCGAATGGTCTTGGTCCGAGAAAGCTGAGACGCTCCCTTCCTACTTGAATCCCAATCGAACTCGCGCACTTCCACCGAAACTGGGTGACTGCGCCCTACTACATGTAGATGGGGATTTGTATGCAAAATGTCACTAAAAGCGCCATTTCGTTCTTATAAAAGCACGGATGACCGCGATTGGCCCATATGTTGTAGTCTTTTGGACGCTGAGTCGACTGGTTTTGGTCCGAAAAGGCTGCGATGCAGCGTTCCTCCTTTATTCCCAATCGAACATGGTTGAACAAGTGGTCACGTGCTCCTGCGTACACCAGTCAGCTGGTCACCGTGCCTGCAGGGTACAACTTACTAGCCTGTTTGACCTTTTTTGGGTGCAGTCCTGTCACTCGAGTTGAACTCGAGTTGAACCTTGCAGCTTGGTGTGAAAACAATTGTCGCCTGCTGGCGTGGTGACCAGGTGATTTGGGCACCCAGGAGCACGTGACCACTTGTTCAACCATGTTCGATTGGGAATAAAGGAGGAACGCTGCATCGCAGCCTTTTCGGACCAAAACCAGTCGACTCAGCGTCCAAAAGACTACAACATATGGGCCAATCGCGGTCATCCGTGCTTTTATAAGAACGAAATGGCGCTTTTAGTGACATTTTGCATACAAATCCCCATCTAGTAGGGCGCAGTCACCCAGTTTCGGTGGAAGTGCGCGAGTTCGATTGGGATTCAAGTAGGAAGGGAGCGTCTCAGCTTTCTCGGACCAAGACCATTCGACTCAGCACCCCGAAGACTACAACTGGTGAAATTTTAATTTTTGCCTTAACTTCCCCTTTAAGAGTAATTCTCCATCACTGTAACTGGATACTATAAGGGACCATCGCAAAAGTTCGCAGAAGCCCCTGAAACGAAGAGCATACGTTTGGGGGGGGGGGGGGGGGAGGGAGTCGGTGTCGAAAATCGCAAACCGGGCTTCAATTCAAAAAAGTATTGACGACATGTAGGAGCTGATATAGATTAGCATGCCATCACAGCCGGCGTAGATCGCTTGTCAGGACGCTTAGTCCATTCATGCAACTGCGCGTGTCGCGTAATGCTCAAAGGATACAACTGCATAGCTCTAGCTGTTCTCGTTCTTTAATAGATCACCCACTGCAAGGTGATATCATCGTTGCATTTATAAAGTGCTGTACATTGTTACACACTGATACAACAATGCTTGTGTAGTATATTATAATAATTATTATGTGTGAGCATCCAAGTGAAATAATGAAGCCCATATTGTGACTGTCGTTTCGTTTGAGGGGGGAGGGAGGGGGGTCAGGCCCGAAACTAACGGTCTTCGTTTCGGGGGCTTCTGCGAACTTTTGCGATGGTCCCTAATATTATACAGTCAGAAAGTGCAATAACTAGGCACAAAACTGACAGAGTACTGAGACATTCGACGTCCGGCCACCTAGCCCTTTCCCAAAGGTGCTCTTTTAATTCGCACTTAGTGCTTTTCGCGTCCCTCGCAATATGCTGAAAAAGTGCTCTTTTTTCAGTGAAAACAGGCAAAAAGTGCTCTTTTTCAGTCAAGCATAGCCATGATACATGTTCAGATATGAACCCAAGCTGAGAAATGAATACGCACTCTGCCAATTATGGGTCCACGAAAGGCAAAACAGGAAGTAAAGTTCAAAAAACCCACTTTTTACAGCATTGTGTACCGGGTACAAGCTTCACCAACTAACTAACTTACTTGTTGCCTCCCAAAAAAGTGGCGTGCCAAGGCCCATCGAGCACTCGTAAACTGTGATCGCATGCTTGAGCAAACAGATTTTAGCACTTTTTCAGCTAAAAAAGCCCAAAAAGGGCGATATTCACCAAAAAACGCAATAAAGGGCGAAAGAAACGGGCTTTTCCAAAACGGGCCAAAAAGGGCGAGCACCTTTGGGAAAGGGCTAGTTGAAGCTAGGTGTCAGGACGTCGAATGTCTCAGTACTCTGTCAGTTTTGTGCCTAGTTATTGCACTTTCTGACTGTATATAGTATCCAGTTACAGTGATGGAGAGTTACTCTTAACTCGTATCCATATGTCCTTTTCCTTTCTACATTTATTTATGGCTCAACATCCGAGTTTCAAATATCTTACAATGAATAATTTTCAATCTTTTGTATAGCAATATTGCTATGCAAAATCAAACTTGAATAGCAATTCAAAAATGTTGCGTAGCAATTTTCTTCAACACTTGACAACCGTCCTTCTGGAGAGCTGATCAGAGTGCAAGCTCAGACCACAAGTACACTGTAACACCTTAGTTGCAAATCTAGCATGGTACCAGGATGCATAGCTCAGCACTTTCGAAGTTTCGTGCATCTATTTTATCCCTAAGAGACACACCCGGCATGTACACTGTGCATCATAGGGTACAGTGAACAATCAATATGCATCGCAGTTTTCTGCGACACATTATTTTCTGAAGTTGCTTCGCACCTCAGAAGAATTGCGTAGCAAACTGCGATGCGATACCGGTTACATGAGTCCCTGTACAGTATTTGGATCTGGAAAACTGGTTAACCGAAATTTTCACGCTACCGAACCGTTGATGTTGGGAAATACCAAAAATATCACACCACCGAAAATTCCCGGTTTTATAGTATCCCACTAAATCTTAGTCGGCGCCTCCCGTCGTCATTGTGCGTGCGTTGACCTGGGCACGAGCTGGACTGTCGCAGCATGCCCGTGCATGGTGGTGAAAGATACCAAGCCACCATACGCGGCACGACCCCAATTGAATCCTCTACCCATTAGCTGCCGTGACAACATGCATGACAGTGGCATTTGCTGAGGTGCCTTTTGCAGCTTTGCTTATAATGCTGACCAGCAGAGTATTGTGGGGGGGAATGGTCGACATGAAGCGGTAGAAGTCCGCACGCACGATTCGGACACTTTGATCATGTCAAGATGATGAAAGTGCTGCATCGTCTGCAACATCGGTCTCACGCAGCTTCGATTTGGCAGTTCAGTCACCAACTAACTTCAACATATGAGTCCACACACATACACGCACACACCAGCACATACCAGATCGACGGACATATAGGCACATACAAACACACACACACACACACACACCAGCACGCTCCTACGTGCAGCAGAGCGGCTTTGGTTGGCTCAAGTCTTCAAAGGAATACAAATAGCGGCAGGCTTGCAACACAGTGAGTTGAGCGAGGCACACAGCCAGCAAGCATGCGTTTCCTCGACGCAGAGACGGAACTTCGGTTAAAAATGGAGAGTGGAAAAGTCAGAAAACACTCAAGCCATTAGCAGTACATGTGCAGGCATGATCTTGTAAAAGTGGGAAAGGTTAAAAAAAATAACAGAAGCTCTAAGGTAACTAAGTAACTTCACAAGCACCCGTTAGTCAATAACAGATCATCTAAGGTAATACTCTAAGGTGGTCAATAGCAGATCAGCTAAGGTAGTCGAAGCCAGCTGAGTGGGGAAACACCATGATTTAGCACACTGTCGCTGCAGCACACGTTGTTTTAGCAATAACCGGACAGCAATAGTCTGCACCTGCACTGCCAGATGCAGTCCGCACCGGGTCCTGAACGCAATGCAACTAAACTCAGCTTACCTCAGCTGGAACGCAACGCTAAACGCCTGAAACGTTACCGTATAAAGGCCATGATAGACAGGGAGGACGTGTAAAATAGCTATGGGTTTAACTCGCACCAGAAGGAAGGAAACCAGATGTGTTTGGCAGTTCATAAAAATACATACCTACGGTATCATGGCAGAGGCATATACACAGAGAGCGGGGCTCTAAAAATAGAAGGAGCTTTGTACAAGAAGCGTATGTGCACGTGATACTATGTACAACGGAATCGGCTTACGGACATGGGTAGGAACAAGCCAGGAAGCAGGCAGCCCTGGAGCCTTTGCGCACCGACGGTCACATAAACTTCAAAGCCACCTACCCTGAAAGCTACTGCTGTTCACGCTGAGACGAGTCCATAGGATCAGTCCTGGTCGGTATGCATGGCTCTTGAATGTCATACACCTCAACAAGATCCTGCAAGGCGAGCACACACACACACACACACATCATGGTTACACGACTAGAGTGATCACTGTGTCCGGTAGCAGACAGGAAGGAAGGCAAAACGGAACATGTTCACAGCACACTGACTTCAAAACACACAAACAAGGCAAGGCATGTTGCACTGCCACTCATGCACACACACACACACACACACACACACACACACACACACACACACACACACACGTACACTCACAGACCTTAAATCGCTGGAATTAGGATGCGTACATAGGACAAAGGATTCATTTGGTGAAATATATCCACGAGGACTCATTTCCTGGTGTGTTTCATCCCTCTGTCAGCAGTGTAAGTATAGTTGTGTGCTGTTGATTTTCTCTTTTGAGTCAGTTCCTGCATTCAACATTGTAGATGATACCAATAACTGAAATGAACCACGAAATGTTCTACCGTGTTGCATGCACCACTCTTGAGGAAATGAAAATCCTTTCATTCGCCATACCACGCAAAGCTACTTCAGAACTTTCAAATCAGAAGTATATCTACAGTCAGTGCCATTGTAAGTTATCTTCCCACCCTGCCAGCAGGGTTGAGCTGCAAGCGTGGGGAAGGGAAAGAGCCAAGAGACTGATCAAGTGCTCTCGTTCTTGCCACTCCTCATTCCTACGTTCACAAAAACTGACCTTCCAAAGCGCAATATCTAGCTCCACGATGAATTGCTGGCGAGCTGCCTCAGCATTCGCATCTTTCGTTTGGGTCAGTCCTGCCGAGAGAAAGAGAGAGAGAAAGAGTACATGTCTAACCATTATCTCAATACAAACTTTTGCTTGGTACCATCCTTCCACCACGTACAGCACACAGAGCAGCGAACCATGTCAATTCGGGGGCACTGACGTTACATGATGATGCACAGTCGGCATGTGTTGACGTATTACTGTGCTTGGTAAAGTGTACAAACGACACAAGGCAGATTGCAGCGGCCACTAGTGTACAAAGTTGCAAACCCAAGACATGCACAGTAGCACCGGGATGCTGAAGAACATCAAGGCTAGAAATGGCACACAACGTGCCAGGCGGGAAGCAAAGATGAAGGCACATGTACACCAGTGAGTGTGTTCGATTATGTCCGCGAATCGATTCATGAATCCACTCATGAATCACCCCTGGCTAGTATTCAAATCACCCCATGTGGTGAATGGATTCCGAATCGATTCCAGGGCGCATGACATGAAATCGAACGACGAGATTCCATCAATGGATCGATTCAAGTGCGTAATCAAACGCACTCGGCGTGCTTTCTCATGTAACACTGCATGCACAGTGTGCCTGTAGTCTGTGAATGCATAAGCACAGAATACGAAACGAAGAAGCGGCAATCTCTCCCACTATACAACACGTAGGCCGAACCGGAGATGCCCGTTCTTCTGCGGCCTGTGTTACTGTACATGTACACTGTATCCAGGACAACAATGATGAGAACCAGAATGCTGCCCTTACCAATGAACGGTTCATCTTGATCAAACTTGATGAACGCTACATTGTCCTGGTAAAAACATTTTCAAAAGAAAACGCAACTCGTCAACATGGGTAACTAAAAAGCACATCCTAATGGTCCATTCGGTATTCTCAGTTCATGTTGTCCAGTCAAGAGCTCAAGAGAGTGTGGCCTGGCATTTTTTTAATCCTTTTTCTAGAGTAAAGCCTGGGCCAAACAAGATTGTGCCAGGCGCGGTACACCATCAAAAGTCACACGGAAAGCTTTTTCAGGACATGGCTGTTCGTTCCGATACGTTGATTTCGCATCCTTGGTCTCTCTAGAAAGCTCTCGGTGACAAATAAAATGAGCGCAACTCTGCACTAGCAAAGTTATTCAGGTAGCGTCATGATGCCTGGAATATGCTCCAGAGACAGATAGATAAATACAGAGAGAGAAAGATAGAGAGATACACAAGTAAATTCTCTCCTCGTTAGCCGTTTCCCTCTCCCTTACCGCATGCCTCTAATATCATACACACTGCATTTTTCATTATGTTGCCCACACACTCGAAGCGTGCTGGGGTGAAATAGCAGGAGAGGACAGGAGAGGGAAAATCCCTCATTCAAGGACAGTCACTGAGACAAAAATAGTTTGCATTTCGCTGTGACCAAATCGTCGAGAATTATATCGCAATAACCCGACCTCATGGCGATTGCTGCATTAGAAAGCTGAACCTCATGGCGATTGCTGCATTAGAAAGCTGAACCTCATGGCGATTGCTGCATTAGAAAGCTGAACCTCATGGCGATTGCTGCATTAGAAAGCTGACCCTCATGGCGATTGCTGCATTAGAAAGCTGAACCTCATGGCGATTGCTGCATTAGAAAGCTGACCCTCATGGCGATTGCTGCATTAGAAAGCTGACCCTCATGGCGATTGCTGCATTAGAAAGCTGAACCTCATGGCGATTGCTGCATTAGAAAGCTGAACCTCATGGCGATTGCTGCATTAGAAAGCTGACCCTCATGGCGATTGCTGCATTAGAAAGCTGAACCTCATGGCGATTGCTGCATTAGAAAGCTGACCCTCATGGCGATTGCTGCATTAGAAAGCTGACCCTCATGGCGATTGCTGCATTAGAAAGCTGAACCTCATGGCGATTGCTGCATTAGAAAGCTGACCCTCATGGCGATTGCTGCATTAGAAAGCTGACCCTCATGGCGATTGCTGCATTAGAAAGCTGAACCTCATGGCGATTGCTGCATTAGAAAGCTGAACCTCATGGCGATTGCTGCATTAGAAAGCTGAACCTCATGGCGATTGCTGCATTAGAAAGCTGACCCTCATGGCGATTGCTGCATTAGAAAGCTGAACCTCATGGCGATTGCTGCATTAGAAAGCTGAACCTCATGGCGATTGCTGCATTAGAAAGCTGACCCTCATGGCGATTGCTGCATTAGAAAGCTGACCCTCATGGCGATTGCTGCATTAGAAAGCTGACCCTCATGGCGATTGCTGCATTAGAAAGCTGAACCTCATGGCGATTGCTGCATTAGAAAGCTGAACCTCATGGCGATTGCTGCATTAGAAAGCTGACCCTTCTTCACAGATACTTTTAACCTAGTGAAAAAGATTGTGAAAACCTGGCATGTTTGAGATTGTGAAAACCTGGCATGTTTGAGTTTGTGAAAACCTGGCATGTTTGAGATTGTGAAAACCTGGCATGTTTGAGATTGTGAAAACCTGGCATGTTTGAGTTTGTGAAAACCTGGCATGTTTGAGATGGTGAAAACCTGGCATGTTTGAGATTGTGAAAACCTGGCATGTTTGAGATTGTGAAAACCTGGCATGTTTGAGATTGTGAAAACCTGGCATGTTTGAGATTGTGAAAACCTGGCATGTTTGAGTGACTTACGAACGTTTGACTGCACCTTCATCGATCATAATACGATCTAAGTATACGATCAATTTTCGTATGTGCGGAGGCCTAAGGGTCCGTTTGTGACCCGGGACCTGGCATGAGGGCAACCTGGACGTGGTCTTTCAGTGACTACTTTGGTGGCGGGTCTGATTTGATCGTCTCACCGACTAAGGAGCTGCATCCGATGCCTCAATCCTGGAGCGCGGTGGTGACGGTAGCACTCCTACAGATGTTGAACAGACGGCCTGACGTAATAAAGCCGTGAAATTTACTTCATGACCAGCACACATGTACTCTCGTGCCTTTTTAACAGTAGATACTGCACAAGATCAATCATACAGATTAGCCTAGTACAGATTTATTTCCACTTCAGCGTAGGCAAGGAACAGCGCTCAGCACTACTAGCAAGCCTGGCACGTGCAAGAACAGACAGCCAAGCCGATACCCATCCATTTACCTTCACGAGAAACGCCGTGTGAAAGATATTTTCCACAGACTGCGAGAACGAATTGGGATTCAGGACGAATTCAAAGTACGGCACGGCTGCAGGGAAGCAATAGAGAGCAGCAAAAGAGATCAGTCCACCAATACATTCGAGTCGGCTCGAGTATAGATCACATACGCCTGGCATAGTTTTTATCCCATGTGCGCTCTATCTTGGCCAGCAGCGTCTCGGGATTTGGCAGCCATGGCCGCAACCCAGGATTTAAAGAAGATGACAAGGCAGCCGTGTTCTGCCATGGGTGTTTGATGGCTCAGTGAAACCAAGCTCTGACAGAGGAACCTGATACCATAACATAGGTATTATTATACAGACCCAATGCCTACATCATGATCAGGACCAGGAGATCTCACAACCGGGGCGGCGGCGGTGGTGGTGGCTAAACACGACCACAGCTCAAAACTCTATAGGGCCATGGCCTCGGCGCTCACCTTCATACTCTTGATTCGCCTCCAACGTCTCCTTGAGAAACTTGGCCACCCTGGCGACCTCCTCTGTCGTTGTTTCCTGGTACTGGTTTGCAGACTCCACCTGCGTGGGTGTCACCTTCTCGTCGGTCTTATCTGCCTGGCGGCGCTGTGCTTGCTTGCGTTCCTTGGCTTTTATCGCCATCGGACCATACCTGACAGCGGGATTTTTTACGAGACAAGTACAATGATCACACAGCGATGAAGCAAACAAATCTTTTTCCGCCGTTACTCGGAGTTTCCACGAGACAAGTACATGTAGAAGGACGGGAGGACTTCAGAGAACACACCGAAAGCAAACTCTGTGAGAAGTATTCAAATAAAATAAAATAAAACTCAGCAGGGGCATGCACCGGGTGGAAACGAACTGCTATCACACAGCTACTAGCACTGTACTTCAAAGTGTCAGAAAAGATATCGACTGAAGAAATGGGCTTCCTTCAAGACTAACCAGACTAGATAGTGGTACACGTAGACACTTTAACGGCAGTAGAGGGTGTGTGTATTGCTAGTCTGACTGGCTGAAACAAGCCAATACAGTCAAACACGGAGCCACACTCGTACACAAGTGGACTCACATGAACGAGGCGACCGGAGAGCGGCGCACCAGGCACGGTGCACACACCTCGTCCAGCTTGGTCCAGTCGAGCTTGGCGAGCCGGCGCTGATTGGCATGCGACTGGTCATCGTCGTCTAGACTACGCCCTGCACCGTCCATGACACGTACCTACACAAAGCAGTATGCATACAGACACTGTACTACATAAGCATGCATTGAAGCAGTTATTAGTAAATACGCTGCCGAAACCCAACCCAAGGCAAGGCAGAATTCTGGTTTAAACATTTGCACAAATGCCAGATGGTCGCAGAAGCGTCACTGACAACAACACAAGTCTCCATTCTACTTTCGAGATAGAGACTAGTCGACTAGTACTAGCCTTCTAGAAGTAGCATGCAGAGCAGCATGTGCACGTGGAAGTCACAGGTGAACAAGCACGTCATTGGGCCTCACACATTTCTTGGCCATGTCCTGAAGATCAAACGTGATGCGACTGGTGTTCAGGTTCCTGGCCTGCTCCACGCCCATAGCAGCGACCGATTTGAGCAGATTGGAGTCGAGCACCGCCTCGGCCGGTGCCATGACTGTTACACACACACACACACACATGCACACAAATACACACACACACACACACGCACACAAATACACACACATACATACACATACATGCACACACATGCACATACACACACACATGCACAACAACAAAGATCAATTTAAGCTTTAGAGGGAGCAAGCGCACACTGGTCAAGTTGTAATATCGTAACGCATCCACGCCAGTACACCCATGGCTAGCCAGCAGCTAAGCAGCACTGCAGAAGCTAACCTTTGTTCGAGAGCACCTGGGCATTTTCGAGCAGACCGATGAGTCCCTCATTTCCTGGCTGTACCAATTCGTGCTTGTGTTCTGCAATAGAGATACGGTAGAGAGAATACAAAAAGAATCAGACACGGCTATGAATAGCAAATATGGGTTGGACTAAAGCCCACAACTCAAATCGCACCGCTATTCTCTGCGTTGTTCTCTATCAAAGTTAGCCATGAATACAAGGCTAATACATCGAAATATCTGATAAGATTTTGGAAAGTTTGAAGTACCCGCATACACCACAGGACTGCCGAAAGCAGTTTTTGATTGGTCCGGTAGTATCATGGCCTTTCATACTTTGTGTACGATATGGCGGGTACACATGCCCTCCACAGCAGTCAACATGTGCTGGTGGCCAAAAAGTTGGTCCGGTGATAACCTGACCAGCCGGACCGGTTCCGGCGGGCCTGCACCAGCATGCTCCTACGTATAGTAGAGCGGTTTTGGCCTCCTCAAGTTTTCAAAGGAATACAAATAGCGGCAGGCTTGCAGCACATTAAGTTGAGCAAGGCACACAGCTAACTCGCAGGAGTTTCTTGGAGGCGTAGACGGAGCTTTGGTTAAATTACAAATCGGCGTGCGAGTCCTGCACTTTTTATTGCCTTTCCTCGAGGAGCAAGGGGATAGATTCGTACTTCGTGCATGTTGTCTTTCTGGCTTTTCTTTTCAGTTGCCGCTGTGTTCATTTTTTTTGTTGTTCTGCGATCATGAGCCGTGGGTGTCTGATGCTTGATTCAGCAATCTAGGCTGTCCACTTGCCATCAGATAATTAGAACACTAAAGTTGTCTTGTAGACGCTAGCAAACTTATAGCCACTGCACTACGATGAAGGGTTATATGCAACCAGTCCACTGCATCTTATTCATCCATTCTAATGTTTTATAATCGTGATCAATTCCATATTCTCAACAACAGATTCCCACTGAGCATCGATAACCATAATTATCATGTACTGTGCTTTACACTGTAAATATGTGTAAAACCACGAATAGGATTGATTGCATGTAGTAAGCGAACATCCTCGGCCTTCAGTGCTTCACCAGTGGGAGGCGTGTAGAGAAACCAAATCTGGCAGAAGGTGGTTATTCAAACTTACTGTGAACATCGCTCTGCAAATTTCGATAGCCCTTTCGAACTTCGCGTCGCACGCGCATGGCTTGATCCTTTTCTGCTTCCTCAGCGGAACGAGACATCTCGTTCGGATCGGCAGAAGCGGTCAACATAGGCTATGATCTGTATGACCCTGCAAACTGCCACTGCTGAGAACACATCTGTTTCGTTTCTTGTTTCTTGTTCACCTCACCAAGCTCAGCTCTCTCAGCAGATCTACAGTCGTAGATCTACAGATCTGGCTGCAGCTGGCACGCTGGGCATGGGTAGATACAAGAGTACAGTCATGGTTTTCATGTACTCTTGGTAGATATCTACCGGATGGCAGTGCAGTGATCATAAAAAAGCAGTTTCCCGCGGAAATACGAAATGGTGCTCGGCAAGGGGAAGCCCCTTTTTTGTCTCAAACTCGGAAGAAATCGAACCAAATCAAAATAAAACCACTTCTTTTATTCTTTCTTTGTCTCTGCTCCTCACTTCTTCAAACTCATCAAAGACTAAGTTCTTGTAGAGAAGGGGCGTTGACGAGCATTGTTTAGCCCACTTCGCTGTGGATTTGGCCCTTTTCTTTTGGTTGATCAGTCGCTGGACTATCTGTAGTAATACGTCCATGAAAGTGAAATCACCAAGATTTTGTAGTCAGACTTTGTACTCCCATTACTGCTAATGATGTAGAATGCTCTCGAAAGGGCCAAAGGCCAAAAGACCACGAATCACGGACGAAGATGAATGGCCAGAAGCAATTCCCGGTAGGGTGGATATTGTGTCAGGCTTAGAACATTTTGTGTGAAGTACTAGTACTATGAATTAGCCAGGGACCACGTTCTTGACAGAAACACACATTTCCAATTATCATTCTGTGGAAAGGAAATACATTTAGCACGCAGAAGCACACCCCCGGATATAATTAGTATTTCAGACTGCGTGAATACCGTGGATTATACAACCTGGCAATCATTTATAGCGTTTTATTTAGCGTTTTACCTTTTAGTGTTAACATGTTCCCAGTCACTCATCTCGTCTATCATATTTGGGTTTAGTCCATTTCTCATAATCAATTTAAATAAACTGTGAATACACACTGCAATACTGTAGAAACGCAGTGCTGCCTAATGTTTTTCACCCAAAATCGGACACTGTTTACTTTATTAGAGACACCAAATACATTGGGGCATCCTCGTGTGAGCCTGTATTGGTAACATGTGATGTACGACTCAGTATCACTACTGTACATTGTATTCAACCTAAACGCTGCAGGTACCGGTATACTGTTACGCATACTTACCAGGTACATTTTGGCGTTTTGTCGAAATCGGAAAGTTTCTTTTGGACTGGTTTTTCGTAAGGAGGGTGAATTTTCGAACAGTGTCCATAAATCGGACGATTTGGCATCACTGACAACAGACGAGTACATCAACTACATCACAAGTATGCCTGCATAACACCATTCTCACAGAGAAGTGTTTGTGTCGTGTAGGTCATCGTGAATAATTGTTATCATTGCTACTAGTATCTTGTCGCCCCTTTGACCATCTGTAAGGTCGCGTATGATGCAGAAAAGCTGAGTCTTAAATGGCCTTAACTCGGACCAGCTCCACTTGATTCAGCTTCTACAAGACTACAGGTTGTGAAAGCTTCATCTCCGCCCGTGCTTCTATAAGGACAACAATGAAAAAAAATGCTTCCAGTGAATTGTCCGTCTATGTATCCAGTAGGTCTCACTCTTCCCACTTCAATGGAGGTGCGATTGTGAATGTAGAGCACGATGCACAATATCACTTCTGCGATGCAATTAGCGCCGAGCGAAAATGTTTTTCATATCGCGCAGAGTCTTCCATGCACAATGCACGGCACATCGCAGCGAAATCCTGCAGGGCACGCACGGTCCAAAACCGTACTCGAGCCAGAGCACTTCTGTCACTTGTGCCTGCCGTGTAGAAAGTGATTTGTGTGCGGAGTACATGTAGTGGTGAATAATTGTTGTGTGTACTTTACACAACATGATGTGCATTGCTCGTCGCCCGTCACAGAAGTTGAGCCCAGCTCAACTTCCTGCGATGCGACCTGCGTTGTAAAAAATTGCAGAAAAAACTCTCGATCGTTTCCCTCGTCGCTCATCGCGTCACAGAATTAAGACGAGCGGAGTGTAGCAACTCCACCTGATCCAGACAATGTACAAATGGGACATGAGTGGAGCGGTCTTCTCCGTGTTGCACGGATAGTTGATCTTTGAATTTTCCGGCAGAGCCTGGAAAAGGCTCTACTCGTTTCACTTGATTGTAAAGGATATCCAGGCTCACCGATCTACCACTGATTATCCATATGACCGTTTAGTAGGAGTTGGCAAATTGCCCAAATGTGGATGAACGGAGTCCATAAGGCAGCATATTCATGACCTCTTACATCACCTAGAGAACCTCCACGTACATGTATATAGCTGATCGGGCTTTGCACTCCAGCTTGAATGTTGATCAGCACAGGTTGTTGGACTGCATGGAATGCCTGCATGGCACTTACCATAGGCAGTTTTGTGGACACCTACTCTCTTATCCGCAATTAGGCGCCATACCGCCGCCTATATCACCACCATGACCACGGTCTTGGACACTGCTGCTATTCCGAAACTCCAACTCCAAACACGTTTTTGACTTGGTGCTTCATCAGGGAGTAAATGAAAATGAAGCTGACTCAGTAGTAGTAGTAGTAGGATAAACCAGAACAACAGTGAAGTATTAGAACCAACGCAGAAACTCGCGCAACACCATTGTTGCAAAAACTAACTTATGTTAGCTGCCATGGATGTGGAGTCTCACCATGGGATCTATATTTATCTCTGTTTGTGCACACAGTACAACAGTAGAACAAGGCCTGGTTTGTTGCAATTCTGAGTTTCACGCTCACTGCAATCATCAGGCAACACGGGGATGCTGTTGGCCAGTATATATACATGTACAAGGAAAAGAAGAAAGGGGAGTGCCGAGGTGTTAGCGATACTGGGGTGTGGTCGTATGCTTTTGAGTCTTGGCAAGAGTACGTAAGTTCCATTGCCACTCTTGCCACTCTTGGTGCAGTTGGGTTGGTAGTATGTGTCGCAGTGAATTATAAGCAGTGTTGAAAACTGTGCCCATGCATGTGGGACAGTATTAGTTTCAGGGCTATCATATTAGCGCAGATTGTGTGCTCCATATGTGTGTGTGTATTTAAAAAAATAGCGATTTTTTTGAGGAATACAAAATTAGAACCTGTAGAATAGAAGCCACTGGTAAATCCGATGAGAAAGGACCTTTCGCACCATTACTCATGCTAGTATGTATAATTCTCGCAACAATCTTCTTGTGGGAGTTTCTGCGTTGGTTCTAGCACTTCAAATTCAATGATGTTTTGATGCATACTGTCAATGAACCAGTTTCATTGTCATGTACTCCCTGGTACGCATGCATGGTTACCGTGGAGCACCAAGCATGCGGAAAAACATGTGGAGGTACGAGAGTTTTGGAATTGCAGCGTCCTGCACTGTAGTGCTGGTGTTAGTATGGTTAAGAGATGATAATTGGCTTCAGTGGAGCCTTTACATATTGAAGAGAGACAAACTGCCATGCAAGTTAGCTTCCACAGATCCAACTGTGATGCTTTCTTGATTGATGCAATGAGTTGTTTTGAAGAATTTGAGATTGACTCTTCTGTCTGATGGGTGTACATTAGCATTTCATTGAGACAGTTTAAATTTTCCGCCTTTTCAATATTGGATGTTTCTTCACTTTATTAGATGGATATTTTTTCATTATTGGATGTTTCTTCCCTTAGATGAT